GTTTAAAAAAAAAAGCGGTGTAGGGTTTTGGGTTTAGAGTTTAGGTTCGCTTGCAAAACCCCCCTCCAACCCCCGCCCCCCCGGACTGTCCCCACATCTTGCTGAGCACCCTGCAATGGCGTCTGGCCTTCATAGCTCGGCCCTGACACCCCAAGGGGAAAAGGGGCCATGCACGGCGCTTACTCTTCCACTACAAAGAAAAGGCATCCTTAGGCAAAGAGCACCATACAAAACCCCACTTGCGGTGTCCGTTTCAAAAACCGTTCACCATTTGGGGCCTGTCGGCCGACAGGTCTGCACTGCTTCCGGCGCTTTGAAGTCCGCACTCTCACAGAGCCGCATGCTCGCCTGCAGCTCAGCTGGAGGGGCTAGGGCCGCCAGAAGCACGGCTCATTCTGAGGGCTGCGCCACCGCAACTTCAATGTAGCCAGGGACCGCCTAACAGCTTTGCTCTCTGCGGTGTGCCCCACTGTCTTACACATCTCAGCCCAGGCCCCGACCCCTTCTCCCACGCGCCAGGAGAGGAGTGTCGGCTGACTGTGTCCTCCAGAAAAAAACGTGAGAACACCTTGCAAGGGGAATGCGGCTGAGCCTGGGTCTCGAAAGGCTGCCAAGACCATGCTGCCGGCCTCCCGAGAGACCGGAGGCCGAAGCACTGCAGTAGTAAACCCTAAACCCTAAACCCCAAACCTTAAACCCTAAACATCCCTAAACCCTAAACCTTAAACCCTACACCCTAAACCTTAAACCCTGAACCCTAAACCCTAAACCCTGAACCCTGAACCTCCTGGGTGCACACGGGCTTACGGCACCTCGATGTCGTGAGCTCGTCGTTCCGGCCCCTGTCGGATCTCCATTTTCCTCGTCATGATCTCGTTCATCTACGGGGAAAACGAAATAATAATCATAATAATAGTAATAACAACTAATAAGAAGAATAGTAATCACAATAATAAGAAAAAATTAAAAAATTACAATAACAATAATAAACTGTTAATCATAATCATCATAATAAAACATGCCCCTTGAGCTCCGCACTGCAGTGCGGAAGCTGCTGAGACGTGGCCTCATGGCTCTGGGGCCAGATGTGCGTCGCTGCTCCAGCACTGAGACTAAGAGGCTCCAGCCGTTGTCCCCGGCCTGACAGAGAGCATGCTGCGATTCTCTGCTGCAGGATCAGTGCACAGCATGAGATGGCAGTCAGTCGCTCGGTCGCTACGCAATGTTTATAGCCGACTGCGGCTCTAAGTATTCACAAATTCACCTTTCTTACAGAATTTGTGAGAAAGGTGAAGCAGAGGTGCTCAAACCTCACAAGAGACACCTTGCTTCCCTTCTGCTGCAGAGACATCTTGCGCTACCCTTTGGCTGCAGTTTGTATACAGACTGGGTCGGCTGAAACCCCATTCTTCGGCGTGGGCTGCGGATTCGCAGAGCACACGCAGAGGTCGCACCCGCAAGAATTCAAAATACTCCTCGGGTCCGGTTCGACCCGATCAAGGGTTCGAGGGCTTCTCTGAGCCTCCTGACAGATTGTCCAGCTCCACGTAGACATGCCTCGGCTGGCCCGGCATTCAATACAACCTCCCGTCAGATCCCAGGCCAAACCTGAATGCAGGAACTGTTGCTGCGGACACCTGTCCGAAACCTCGTGCCAAGCTTCCGATGCGAGAGTTTAGTATCAGTTCTTATGGTAGCTTCCACAACCACTAGAGCCGCTAGAGGTAGCAACATGCCAACAACCTCGCCGTACTGCATAGAATGTCAAAGAAATGGACCTTTCGCCGAGATACCTATGCCCGAGACGCGAAGGCGACGGGAAGTCCCCAGGAGCGTCGCTGCGCGGGCTCATCTGATGGGGCCGAGGCGTGGGCGACTAGCAGGGTTTAGGGTTTAGGGTTTACAGTTTAGGGTTTAGGATTGCTAGTTCATACTCACCCCTATACTTGAGTGCGGGCATAACCCTACCAACTATGGCTAGTTCATACTCGCCCCCTTATACTTGAGGGCATAACAAGCCCGATAATCTTAACCCTAAACCCTAAACCCTAAACCCTAATCTGGCCAAAGCCTTCTGCAGGAGACGAGGGTTTGGTCTATGCCAAGGGCTTCCAAGGCTGAGCGACTCTAAGGATTAGGGTTTAGGGTTTAGGGTTTAGGGTTTAGGGTTTAGAGTTTAGGGTTTAGGGTTTAGGGTTTAGGGTTTAGGGTTCAGGGTTCAGGGTTTAGGGCAAGATGCCTCGTCACTGAGCGTGAGGCTGAACTGTCGCAGCCGCTTGTATACCTTCGTGCCACGGGAGGAACAATCGTCAAGTCACCCTCGAACTAGACATTCAGCACTAAGTTGCTGGAACTTCTGAAAGCCAAGCTGCAGAAATTAGCTCGACGATCCTCAGAAAGCCCATCAGCCGCGTGCAATTCAGGCTCGAGAAGCTCTACAGCTCAACTGCTTTGCTCTTAGATACACAACACGAGATTCAAGAAGAGTACCTTGTGGGAGCGGACACAAAACCTCCTCCCTGAAGCCCCCCCGCAGAGTTCAGCCGGGGATCTGATCCCAGTTGCGCACCAGGAATTGCAGGGAGCGCTCCACGCTACTGAAGGCGCTCACGAGCCGTTGCATCTGGCCCAGGGTGATCTGCCCCTCCGCAATGCAGGGGACAAGGGCCAAGTAGGGAATGATCACCCCAAACTGTAGGTAGGACCACTTGGCAAAGTCAAAGTACATGAAGTTGAAGTAGACCTGGAAGTAGCTCTCCCGGACTGCTGCGAAGAGCTGGTCCACCACCTCCCGCTGCGCGCGGTCTTCCCGATCCTCGCCAAAGACCAGCTCCTTTCTGAAGGCAGCCTCCACAAGCCTCTACTGAACTTGGAACCCTAGCAATTGTTCATACATTCTTGCTGTTTCTTAGGAATTAAAGTGCCCAAAAACTAAAAATTTGTTCCAAGTGCCCCTAAGAAGCTGGTTCTGAAACTCCAAACCCGGTAGGCGCATGCCAACCAGAGCCTTAGTGTTGGCTAGTAGGGAATGAGGGAATGAGGTATCCTCTTTAACCCCTTAAAGGGGGTATATATAGGGGGGTATAGGGTACCTTCATTCCCCCATTTCCCTACTAACCAACAGTAAGCAGCTAGTCCCACGGTGCCCAGCAAGGCCCAAGTGATGGTCAGCAAGACCATGGCGTGCGGCACCTCCCCGATGATCGGCAAGGCTTTGACCGGCTTGGACAACTCGTGGAGGATCGGAAGGAAGGCTACCTGGGGATTTACGAGGGGTACCTTATTTGGGGTTTAGGGTTTAGGGTTTAGGGTTTAGGGTTTAGGGAGGGTTTAGGGTTTAGGGTTTAGGGTTTAGGATTTAGGGTTTAGTTACCTGGGGGTTTACAAGGGGTACCTTTGTTTGGGGTCCTTAGTATAAGGGAATCCTACTATTTGAAGATGGGGGGTACCTTATTGGGGTCCTTCTTATAAGGGGATCCTACGATTTGGGGGGACAAGATTAGGGATCCCTGATTTTCGCAAACTCCCATCTTGTGGGATAATCCGCCTTCTACTAACAGTACTTAATAGGACTATCCCTAAACCCTAAACCCTAAACCCTAAACCCTAAACCCTAAACCCAAGTTTCGTCAACCCCCCCGCCAGAGTCATGAGCGACTGAAGGAGTGAAGCCCCAATGCCTTCCACCATGATCGCAAAGCGCCGCGTGTCCTTGGCAACCCTAAACCCTAAACCCTAAACCCTAAAGCCATCGGACATCAAAGAGGAAAAGTTCGCGCCTGCCTTTCTTTGCCCCACCCCTTCCGCCCGTTCCCAAGTGCGGTTTAGGGTTTAGGGTTTAGGGTTTAGGGTTTAGGGTTTAGGGTTTAGGGTTTAGGGTTTAGGGTTTAGGCTTTGGGGTTTGGGGTTTCGGGTTTAGGGTTTGTTGAGGTAAAAACAGTTCCAAACAGAAAGTGACCCCGTTGGCCTGTTTAGTAGAGCGGAAGCATCTCAGGTGTTTCGCTTGGCAGCCCAGTAAACATATCATAAGGGCACCCTTTTTGGGGTTGGTTGCTGTAGAAGGGAACCTTGGACCTTGAACCAAAAAAAGGGAAAAGGGTTCAGGGTTTAGGGTGTAGGGTTTAGGGTTTAGGGTTTAGGGTTTAGGGTTTAGGGTTTAGGGTTTAGGGTTTAGGGTTTAGGGTTTAGGGTTTAGGGTTTAGGGTTTAGGGTTTAGGGCTACCAAGTTCAACTGAAGCCAGGCAATTGGTCACTTCTCGGCCCCTCTAGAAGGCGGCCCCCCTACTCTGTAGGCCTAAACCCTAAACCCTAAACCCTAAACCCTTAACCCTAAACCCTAAACCCTAAACCCTTGATTTAGAGAAGTGCTTCTACTGAAGCCCCAAGCTTCTTCCTGAACTCGCTGGCTTGCCCCCTCAACTTGGCGCAGTTCTCGCCAGTGCTCGACGCAGAAGTCATTCATGGCTTGACGCCAGCGAAAGGTCCAGTGCTTCGTGAAGAAAACGGACATGACCGCCACCACGATGTAGATGCCAGCGATTTCGGAGAAGGTGAACAAGTATCCGTAGATCTTATCTTTGGAGACGTCCGACTCTTTGGACAGTGCCTTCTGTATCAAGTCATAGAAGTCTCCAAACCAAGCATTGATCACCACATCCAGATGGACTTGGTACCACGTCCCGGCACCAATCAGAACCATGCCGGGCCACGACCAGTATAGCCATCCGGGCTGGCAAAAAAACTCGGTGAACATGGTTCCTTTGAACAGCCCAAAGCCCTAAGAAGCTGGGCCCTATACATTGATCTACATCTTTCCTGTCACGGTCCAAAGCAGATCGTGTTGCGGGCTGATCGTGGGAGGGCGCCATGCCAAGGACGCGGACACTCGAGCTCTCGCAGCATATTTCCTCCCCCAAAGAGCCCAATACCTTTTAACTAAGGAAGATATTTGAATCCTTAGAGGGGCCCTTGATATGATTTAAGGTATATTCCCCTAATCTTAAGGGGGATTCATATGATCTAAGGTATATTTCCCCCAATTAAGGGGTATGTGACTCTTCGGGCCTCTGCTACACCCTAAACCCTAAACCCTAAACCCTAAACCCTAAACCCTAAACCCTGACGGCTCTGGCTGCCTGCGTTGCTTCCCCAGGCGGGAGGACCGGCAGGTGGTCGCAGCGCCGCCAGCGCTGCAAGGTGACTTCCTAAAAGTTCAGGGTTTGGGGTTTGGGGTTTAGGGTTTAGGGTTTGGGGTTTAGGGTTTAGGGTTTAGGGTTTAGGGTTTGGGGTTTAGGGTTTAGGGTTTAGGGTTTAGGGTTTAGGGTTTAGGGTTTCGGGGACCCCACACTACAACACTCGGATATGGGGTTTCCGAAAAATTAGGGACGCCGAATATACACCCCCAAATAGTTGGATTCCCTTATCAGAAGGACCCCAATAAGGACCCCTAATTTCGGAAACACCCATATAGTAACTGGCAAAATATCATCCCAGAATCAGAAAATCTCATAAGCCCCTGAACCCAAGCTGACGAGCCATGAGGAGCAGCTTTGTTCTCCGAAAGCTCACGGGATTGGCCATCGGCCGGTGTGTCTCCTAAACCCTAAACCCTAAACCCTAAACCCTAAACCCTAAACCCTAAACCCTAAACCCTAAACCCTAGGTCCCAGGGCTTGCGTAGTGCCCGTCTCGCGAACCAATGCTTGGACATAGAAGCTTGGGATCAGGCCAGCTCGGTCCTGCAACAGTGTTTAGGGTTTGGGGTTTAGGGTTTAGGGTTCAGGGTGTAGGGTTTAGGGTTTAGGGTTTTGGGTTGAGGGTTGAGGGTTGAGGGTTGAGGGTTGAGGGTTGAGAATTTAGGGTTGTGAAGCCCAACTTTCCTTTTGAATCGTCACCCCTACGCACTCAGTGAAAGCGAGGCAGCTCGACATTTCGGTGTCCAGCTTCCCTTCCTGCTCCTGCACGCAGACGAGGTTTCTAAGCTACATGAGGCTTCGGCTTACATACTTGACGAAGTATGTACATTGTTGTGAGCCATCTGACAGAACTGTCTAGGAGTTCAGGCAAATGAAAAAGTGCATTTAGCAGAATCTCGGCCTCCCCCCTCGCACACAGTCAACTCAAACGCAGGCCGGACCGCTGCACGATTGAGGGGAGGTCCAGTCTTAGCCCACAATCGCTTCTTCCTGCACCTCGTTCAGACCCTAAACCCTGAACCTTAAACCTTAAACCCTAAACCCTCAACCTTAAACTGACATATCAACCACCGCAAGATGATTTGTTTCTGGCTCCTCGTCGCCGACTGGTAGAAGACGCCTGGCACCCCGAAAGGCCCCAAACTGGAAAGCCAAGCTGCCTTTGCGACGAGTTCAACGATTACAGTATGCCGACTATTCACCATAGAATTACATATGTATATGTATTCATCGACCCTAATATGACACAATACAATACAATACAATGCAATGCAATGCAATACAATGCAACACAACGCAAAAAGAAATACAAACACAAATACAAATACACATACAAATACAAATACAAATACAAATACAAATGCAAATACAAATACAAATGCAAATACAAATACAAACACAATACAATGCAATACAATACAACACAACGCAATACAATACAGTACTTTCCAGTATGTTGCAGTACAACACAGTACAATGCAGTTCAGTACAGTACAAGACAACACAATACAGCACAATACAATACAAGACAATACAACGCAGCAGAATTTGATGAGTATCAATATGTAAACAATGAAACTGAAACATATGTCTATATAAGCAGACAAAGATACAGATTGATGTGCTTATACAAATATACATATGTACAAATAAAGCATCATGCATATTAGGGGTGTCAAAAAACTTCAAAACCATAAAGGTTAGTATAATCTGACATCATGCGATGTTAGATATCAAAAAGTACATAAATTTTTCTATTTACATATAAATATACATGTATATACGAAACTGGACAAGTACCAAAAGATGAAATTCAGCTCTAAAGAAGACATATGAATGTAAGCATAAAATGAAAAGAAGTAAAAATACAAGTATGCGTATCATGAGTATGTATACAGTGTAAGTAGAAGTATACGTACAAGTGTAAGTATAAGTGTAAGGATTCTTTCGTTCATGACATTAAAGAATTCATCTAAACACTAAATAATCCTATTATACAAATATACATCAAATCTTAACATGTTAAGGTACTATTATTAATACTGTTACGAATACTAATACTAGAAATGTTTGATATTTGAGTTAAAAACCGGTGTTATGATAAAATTTAGACGAAAAGATTCCCATACATATGTCTACATTTGCATGTCATACGTGCATCATGTATCTTATTTATAGCACTTGTGCTGGGAACTGCAGGGTAAGCGCGACATCCTCTCGATCCTGTTGCACAACAGCTACGAAGGCAAGAGCCGAGATGACCTGCATGTCGCTTGTGAAATGCTTGAAGGCTCACGGGTGCTTGTAAGTAGGGTTATAAGTGCCCTATGTGGGGTTCTAACTATAGGTGCCTTGCTTATACCCCCATTTTACAAGCTTTTCATGAACCTTCAAGTATTCCCCGTCACGCTGGGCCATACTTGCGAAGAAACATGATACATCCCAAGCCCCCAGGCCCTCGCATTGCTCACGCCACCCTAGCGGTTCAAGGTACGAAAAGCAAGTCCGCGGCACGCCAAGCAGCGCTCCCCCTCCTGTTCTTGTGAGGGAGCTTAGGGGGGTTTAGGGTTTAGGGTTTAGGGTTTAGGGTTTAGGGTTTAGGGTTTAGGGTTTAGGGTTTAGGGTTTAGGGTTTAGGGTTTAGGGTTTAGGGTTTAGGGACAGAGGTGAGCTTCTTAAACCTAGAGCTGATGAGATTTCCTCGAATGACGAGGTAGGTATGGCAGGTTCCGCGCTCAACTTTATGCGTTGGGATTGCAGGGAGGACACTGCCCTACAACAAACACAACAGGAACATCTGTTCAGCTGGTTCACACACCCCCGTTCTGCCAGAAAGCCCATCACCCCTACGATCCAACGCTTGGCAAAGCCTTCTCTGATCCAAGACGGTAGCTGCGTTCATCCAAGCAAAGCATCCTTCATCGAGCAGATGATGTGCTCCAATCGCGGGTACGGCAGCTCGTCCTTCACCACAGGAGATGCTTGCTGAAAGCTTTCAAGTTTCTGGCAAAAGGTACTGGCAGAAACAGATTTGCGTCAGAACCAGACATCCTGAAATCAGAACGCACTTCTGTGAACAAGAAATCCTGACCATCAGAAATTCACTTCCGTGAGATACCCCGACTCAGGGAGAAACACTCTGCCTCGCCCAGGGTAAGCTCGCACTTGCGTGGCGAGGTCCTGCTTGTGAAATACTTGAAGGTTCATGGACACTTATAAAGAAGGAAGTGCCCTATGTAAAGATATAAGTACAGCGCGTAACCCTATTGATAACCCTATTCTTTAGCTCCCATGAACCTCCAAGTAGCATGGCCGGGTTTGCTGTACCCGTACCCCCTGCCCCCCTACCCCTACCCCTACCTCGACCCTCGGCATGCCACGCAAATGCCTGCTGAGCCACCGTACATGCATGGCACACGATACTACATATCGAATTGTACGACGATGGTAGGCAACGGAAAGGGTCACAGACACCATGTCACAGCCTACCTACCAACCCCTCGGACGAGCCATCCACATTCCTACTGAGCAGCAGGACTTGTTCGCAAATGAGAGGAGGTCAAGGGACAGGGCTTTGCGATGGCCTTCGATGCATCCCCAAAGCTGAGCTGATGAGTACTGCAGAAGCATCTCAAATCCTTTGAGAGCACCTGAACTCATCTAAACCCTAAACCCTAAACCCTAACCCCGAACCCCTAAACCCTAAACCATAAACCCAAAACCATGCATGTTTTTTTAGGCTAAGATCTCGTGTGTGCTCTCGGATTCTGCATCAAGACCCCGGACAGATTGCTCCTCTTCGCCCCTCCGTCTTCCAAGAGGCAGTAAGAGAAGGTGACAACCTGAGCAACGGGACGTCCTCAGGCCTACAGGCCTACAGCTTGCCAGGCCTACAGCATGCGTTGGGAGCACGTGCTGAAATGGGGTACTAGGGGTACCTTATAGGGGCCCTTATAAAAGGGGATCCTACTACTTGGGGGGTCTATTCTCGGGGTCGCCCTATTTTCGTATACCCCCAAAGACAGCATGTGGCTGAGGGACCGACATCTCCACGGCGAGGCCTCTGGGACAGCACACGAAGAAGCATTCTGAGAACAAGCTGAGGTGGCTTTGTGGCAAACAGGTGCTTGCATGTCAGTGGGTCAGAAGCCTCTCCGGCCTGAGAACAAGGACTTGACCCGCACTAAGTGGCCCGCCGCCGTTGCGAAGTGCCGGTCTGGAGGATGCGCTTGGTGACGCTCCGGTCCTCCGTGAGCGCCAGCACGCACTGGAAGCCCAACAACTCCACCCGCGCTCGGAACATGGGCGGCTTGGAAGGCGTGCTGCCGTCTCCGGCTTCCGCAGCCTCCTGCGCAGCCTCCTGCGCAGCCTCCTTCGCAGCCTCCTGCGCCTTGCGGAACTTCAGGAGGTCCACCTTGGCCTGTTCCGCCAGCCCCTTGGGGGCCGCCGGGAGGAAGCGCAACTTCCGCTTTACCTTGCCGGCCTTGGGGAGCACGCCAGGCTGCGTACGCAGCTGTCGGCCACAGAGTGGGGAGGTGATTTTGCTGTAGGCGGCGGGGGCGCGGATCTCTGCCACCTCACCAACCCGCATATTTTTCACGGCAAACTCGACGGCAAGGGGAAGCTTGTTGTCCCCCATCTCCACCGTAATCTCATCAGGGACGTCCACAATAGCCGGGCCATCCAGCTGAAGAGTACAGAAGCGGAGCGTCACAATGTCGTTCTGGCCTGGTCTCTCCAAGCCCTTCCCCACCTTCCGGATGACCTTCTTCACCGCGCCATCCCTACTGCAAGTGTTCTCCTTAGTACCCCAGCAACCATCTTTTATGATAAGGACACCCTTCTTTGGGTTGGCTATTCTATAAGGGAAACCCTAAACCAAAAAAAGGGTAAAGGGTATCACTGGCTACCAAGTCTCATCTCCCTCGTGATCCTCGGGAGGCTCGTCATCCGAGTTGAAGGCCGGGGGTGCGTCCGAATTGATGGACTGCACGTCGGACTCGGCACCAGCATCTTCAGCCGTCATCAGGAAGGCGCCGGGGTATAGTAGAGAGTTTAGGGTTTAGGGTTTAGGGTTTAGGGTTTAGGGTTTAGGGTTTGGGGTTTAGGGTGTGTCTGTAGAAGCTGGCTGTAAGACATTGGACGTGGATCGTCGTCTTCCTGTGCTAGCGGTGATGAGCAGTCTGCACATGAAGCTGGAGGGCCGGTATAGTCTTTACACTTGGTTGGGGAGCTGCTGAGGGCAATTTGCGAAAAGGCGGGCCCGTAGTTGTGAAAAGCAAAAAAGCCTAACATTTGCTAACCTTCACTGCACAACTTCTGTTGACATCAGAAGCATCAGAACTCACGAGGTCTCACGGACAGAGTCTTGCACGGAGGAGACCACCTTTCGAGCCTCTGGGTTGGACAGCGTGTCCTGCAAGGTCGCACGGGATAAACTCTACAAGGGCTCCTGAGCTTCGGCCCTTAGTAGGGAAGGAGGGCATGAGGTACCTAAGATCTGGCTATGGTATACCCTCTAAGGGATTATATGGGGTACCTCCTTCCCTCATTCCTTACCAAGAACCAGCAAGTCTGAGCTTCGGCTCTGAAGAAGCCTGCCCTGGCTGAGGCCAGCACGTATGCTTTGGAGATCTTTCCAAACTTCTCCGCACCTTTGTGCAGCAGCGGACTCAGGTTAAGCAAGCCAACCTCCAGAGCCCAATGCCAAGTCTCAACCAAGGTTCCGGCATTCCACACAGTCCGGATTCTTGTCAGGATGGTACTTGAGCGCTAAGGCCTGCAGAACCGGCGAACGCACGGTAGTGTGAGGTGGTGTGCAAGAAATGGTGCAGGGCGTGGGTAATGTGTGGCCTTTGTGCTACCAGTACCATGCACCCGTTGTTGTTGAAGAGAGCACGCAGAGAACATTTCCGAAGGAGCTTTGGAAAGAAATGCACAAAGAAACCAGCCGAATCAAAAAAGTGGAAAAAAAAACGGTGCCCATATGGCCCTAGCAGCTGCGTGAAATCAAGCCCCTGGCCTTGTACGCCTTCCTGATTTCCATCTGATCCACACCTGCTTGAGGCATTGTTAAACTCACAGGCCATGCGATCGCCATCTGAAGCCCTGCAGCAAGGCAGCCGAGACAAAACAAATTCAATGCCACACTGCGTGCACTGTCATACTGGCAGATGCCCAGGTCGTTCGTCAGGCATCTGCTTAAGCAAGAGAAACTTTGCAGTGACCTCTCGTCAGGCCCATGACTTCGTAGAAGTTGAACTGGGCTGACACACAGCACCACTACTCAGTCGCGCGAGCTACAGACGGCAAGCGCTGCGCGACACTACGTGATCATTCCGGGACTTCCCTGCGTGCTCACCAAGGGCTGCTTTCATCAAATCTTTGCCAGCTGCTACCCGATTTTCAAAAATCAGGAGAACGCAGTTAAAGTGCCAAGATCCGAGCTCCATGTTCATCCTGGTCCGCTGGGTGGTAACCTTCAAAGCAAATTCAGCAGGGTTTAGGGTTTAGGGTTCAGGGTTTTAGGATTCGGGGTTTAGGGGTTTAGGGAGGAAGAACCGCTTCTTTGATTTGGAGACTTTGGGGGCAGGTTGACGGCTGTGCTCTACCAAGATTTGACTTCCTACTGCCTGTCACAAGCCAGCCAAACTGTCCGGACTTCATCTGCTTCTGACACTCAGTTGATTCCAAAGTCTCAGCCTTCTTCGGCTGCACGGATGGCCAGCCTCGGTTCCATAGCATTTCCGATCGACTGCCGAGGATGCTGTTTGCGATATGCTCTGAAGCTCTGTGGCGGCAGCATGGCCACGATGAAGGCAACCATCACAGCTGGTCCACCATACGTGTTTGCCTCAAGGGGAAGAGAGGAGCAGGCTTCCACCTCAGCACGCAAAACTGGACATGCTGGGCGCCCAGGCCTTCTCTCGGATGGACTTCACTGATAATGAGTCCGACCTTGGGTGTTCTAGCGTGTTTGAACCTGGCCTGCTGGAAAAGCCAGAAAGGTTTTTGACCTGTGGCCACAGCTCCAGACCAAAACTCGAGTGCCCGACCCATCCCGCGAGCCTTTGCCACTACTCGGACCTGCAGATCTGGCCCGCGGTCCAAGCGTGTTGGTATCAAGGGACAGAAGCCCATTAGGCGGCACTCTGCGGCACCCTGAACCGTGCGCTGAAGTTCAACACTAAAAGAAAAGGTCGCACTGATTCTTGCGAACTCAGCATGCTTCCTGGTTACACAAGAGCCTTTCTGGCACCTTGCCCTGACAAGATCATGCCGGAAAACAAGATACAAAAGGACATAGAACCCGCCGGTTCAGTTGCTTGTGGGAGCAGAAACTGACAAAGGGCTAGTTCTCTTAAGTAGGGTCCCTTTTTGGGTCCTACATACAGCATGGCATCTTATTCAGAAAGACACTAAACCCTAAACCCCAAACCCTAAGTTCAAAAACGAAAATGAGTCCGGCCTTTTTTCTTTCGGTCCGCGTCCTTTCCGTTGGGGCCCTCTGAGGACTTTCCTCTCATCGCCAGCCATTGGGGCTTTGTGGTGGGCCGGTTAGGGTGTTAGGGTTGAGGGGTTTAGGGTTTCGGGTTTAGGTTTTCACAAGGGTTTAGGGTTTAGGGTGTAGGGTTTACCGGCTTAGGGTTAAGGGCTTAGGGCTTAGGAAAGCTTAGGGTTTAGGTCATCCACCCTGTCACATACTCCTGGAGTTGGCTGCAAGGCTACGTGCTCGCCTACTACCAGAGCCCTGCCTTTCAACGCATCCAGGACAAAGCCCACGAGGATAAGTCGAAGAAACCGCTCCACCTCGAAGATTCTGAAAGCGGCAGTAACAAAGGCTCTGCTTCTATCGATGGGCATAGTGAACTGCCGCATATTCTAAATCAGACATGAAGAGCATCGTTTGCTTAACAAATTCAGCAAGAGAGCCTTTCTTTGTTTCTGTTCTGAAAGGGAGAGAGAGGGACTTCCTTCGTGTTGGTGGGTGGAGGGGTGACAGCCCAATAACTTTTGGGGTCCGATGCAGTGAAACACCAGCTTCGATGAAGCGGATGGTGAAAGTTTCCGTGGCTGTCGGAACAGTCATGGTTCAAGAAACAATGGAAACTTCCGAAAATCGTGGCCAAGGACACAGGAAAAAAGTCGGTCAATAGGGGCAGGGCAGAGTGGGGGGGAGGATCTCCACATGTCTATGCATACGTAAGTACATACATACAGGCATATTTATGCACATCTTGCATATGCATATGTTTGCATATACGTATATGCATGCGTACATGTATATGTACAGCCGCCTCATGCGCAGATGCGGCTGGAGCTTGGGGTGTTGGCGCTGCGAAACTGAAGAAAAGCGCAACTGGGGCGCCAGCTATTCTTTGTCTGGCCTCTTTTTGCCTTCAACAGGTCCCAGCAAGAAGCTCTGACAGCGAGGCTGGCAACCTCTGGTCCATCCCAGAACCTTTAAACCGGATGCCCTACAATCACATGCCTGCGTCAACTAGAACCGAATCATACAGGCACCCCAAGCCAAAGAGACTTGGGCAGCCACTCAGACCTTCTGATGACTGCAACCTGCCTCTCAAGCTCCATCTGCGCAAAAGCATCCATTGACTTGGCCTGGTCTACAGCTGGAGGCTTCTTGCACATCAGCTTGATTTTCTGGGACGGCTTCATCGTACGGTCTTTTGCAAGGGAGCAAAGAAACATGACGTAGCCGTAGCTCAGACATGTCCAAACCACATGAACATTGAAATTTCAGCAAGCAGAGTAGACCACTGCACTGGGACTTAACCACAGGAGAAGAGTTCAGTCTGAGATTCTCCAATACACCATCACATGTCCGGGAACTTCCATCTGGGCATTTCTCAAAAGAAAGGGTCCGCCCTAATAAACCCCTATACAATACAATCCTTCTATAAAAACCCCAAAAATTGCCCCCCCCCCCCCCCTATTCTCGGAAAACCCCATCTCTCCACCCGAACAAAACTCGCCGATGACCTGGAAACTTCCGAGCCCGAGCCTGCAGCTTCTTCTTGGGGGCCGCTTCCTTTTTTCCCCTGCTGGGAGGACCTCACTTGCCCGAAAACCTCAAACTCTAAACCCTAAACCCTAAACCCGAGTGGCCAAGAGGATCAAAGTCCTTACACGGGCTTGCTCTCGTGTCTAACTCATTGAGCACCTGCCCAGTGATGTGGCCATGGACAAAATCTGCCTGGATCTACCCGGTGCTGTTTTCTCACAAAACACGTGGCGCGTAGATCCAGGCAGATTTTGTCCTTCGCATGTTTTCAAACAACACCATGGACAAAATCTGCCTGGATCTACGCGGCGCTGTTTCTTACCAAAAAAAGCGGCGCGTAGATCCAGGCAGATTTTGTCCTTCGTGCTTTTTGAGAAAACACCATGGACAAAATCTGCCTGGATCTATGCGGTGCTGTTTCTTATAAAACACGTGGCGCGTAGATCCAGGCAGACTTTGTCCTTCGCATTTTTTCAGACAATAAACAAAGTCTGCCTGGATCCATTTGAAAAACCGCCATGGACAAAATCTGCCTGGATTTACTGCCCGGCTTCAATCCCGGGGCCTCAGCCAGCTCATTTAAATAATTAAAGAATTGAATTAATTCAAAGAATTCAATTAATTGAATTATTTGAGTTCTTGGGCCTCCCCAAGAATTCAAAGAATTCAATTATTATAATTCCTTTAATCCCGGGGCCTCAGCCAGCTCATTTAAATAATTTAACGAATTCAAGTAATTCAAAGAACTCAATTAATTGAATTCTTTGAATTGTTTGAATTCTTGGGGAGGCCCAAGAATTCAAAGAACTCAAGTATTTGAATTGATTGAGTTCTTGGGCCTCCCCAAGAATTCAAAGAGTTCAATTAATTGAACGCTTTGAATTCTTGGGCCTCCCCAAGAACTCAAAGAATTCAATTATTATAATTTCTTTAATCCCGTGCCCTCAGCCAGACCATTTAAATAACAATTCAAAGAATGCAATTGTTTGAGTTCTTGGAAAAATTCTTGGGGAGGCCCAAGAATTCAAAGAGTTCAATTATTTGAATTCTTTGAATTCTTGGGCCTCCCCAAGAATTCAAAGAATTCAATTATTATAATTCCTTTAATCCCGGGGCCTGAGCCAGCTCGTTTAAATAATTTAAAGAATTCAATTAATTTAAAGAATTCAATTACTTGAATTCTTTGAATTCTTGGGCTTCCCCAAGAATTCAAAGAATTCAAATAATTGAATTCTTTGAATTCTTGGGCCTCCCCAAGAATTCAAAGAATTCAATTATTATAATTCCTTTAATCCCGGGGCCTGAGCCAGCTCGTTTAAATAATTTAAAGAATTCAATTAATTTAAAGAATTCAATTACTTGAATTCTTTGAATTCTTGGGCTTCCCCAAGAATTCAAAGAATTCAAATAATTGAATTCTTTGAGTTCTTGGGCCTCCCCAAGAATTCAAAGAAATCAATCATTATAATTCCTTTAATCCCGGGGCCTGAGCCAGCTCGTTTAAATAATTTAAAGAATTCAACTAATTCAAAGAATTCAATTAATTGAATTCTTTGAATTCTTGGGCCTCCCCAAGAATTCAAAGAATTCAAATAATTGATTTCTTTGAATTCTTTGAACTATTTGTTGTTTTAAATGGTCTGGCTGAGGGCACGGAATTCAAAGAATTCAATTAATTGAATTCTTTGAATTCTTGGGCCTCTCCAAGAATTCAAAGAATTCAAATAATTGAATTCTTTGAATTCTTGGGCCTCCCCAAGAATTCAAAGAATTCAAATAATTGAAATCTTTGAATTCTTTGAATTCTTTGAATGGTTTAAATGGTCTGGCTGAGGGCACGGAATTCAAAGAATTCAATTAATTGAGTTCTTTGAATTCTTGAGCCTCCCCAAGAATTCAAAGAATTCAAAGAATTGAATTCTTTGAATTCTTTGAATTATTTAAATGGTCTGGCTGAGGGCACGGAATTCAAAGAATGCAATTAATTGAATTCTTTGAATTCTTGGGCCTCCCCAAGAACGCAAAGAATTCAAACAGTTGAATTCTTTGAATTCTTGGGCCTCCCCAAGAATTCAAAGAGTTCAAATAATTGAATTAATTGAGTTCTTGGGCCCACTCAATTAACTCAATTGTTTAAATGAGTCTTATAATTAATATATAAAGAAAAACAGTGGCAACATAGTACATAAAGGTCCCTCTCTCATATATATATATATATATCTATCTATCTATCTAGACATGTAGATATATCGATATATAGATATATAGACATATAGACATATAGATATATAGATATATAGATATATAGATATATAAATATATAGAAACTTGGATTGTGAGCAGGTAGAAGCATTCATGCTGATCAGGTAGCATGTCTGTGCCAGTGTAGCTGAGTAGGTTCACTTTGCAATCTTCAGTTTGGTAATTCGTTTCAATGCCAAATTTTGGCTCAAGTATGGAGCTAGACTTGTGCCATTGCGCACGGTAGCTTCGTGCAGTCACGGTAGTTTCGTGCAGTAGCTCTAAGGTTGCTGTGCGGTCCGACCGGACGCCAGGCCGTAAGGTTCACCGAGAGCGTGGACCCGCGAAGTCAAAAGCAGCGTGACCGCCTATGTTTGCTTCTGTTTGTTGCAAGACCAGGTTGGTCGACTTCACAGGATATATGGATGTGTAGATATATGGATATATGGCCCTATAGGTATACCATATGTATATATGTATATATATATATAGATAAGTAGATACATGAATATAAATACATAGATATATGGATATATTGATAGATGGATAATCAGGTACTTTGATATACTGATATATTGATGCAGATACATATATCCATAGATACAAATATCAAGACCATGAACCTCAACATCAAGGTTCCCAGCACACGTCTGTTCACACAGTAGCTGGGTGCCCTAACCATCTCGCGTGTCCTCCTGGCATTTAGGGTTTAGGGTTTATAGGGTTTAGGTTTAGGGTTTAGGGATTAGGGTCTAGGACTGCTTGAACCATTGACCCATGCCCACACAGCGCACGCCCACACAACACTGCTGGAACTGTTGATGCCTCTTCCTGGTCGTCTTCTGCCGACGGAGCCTGCTCAAGAGCTTGAGCTACACAAGGATATTGAAGGAAGACAGCTTCGGTAGAGACTGCCACCTTGCCAGCATCCTTCTTCTTCGCGCCAGCTTTCCTGCCATGGGCTGCCGCAGGCTGTTAACAAGCGAATGCCATGCCCGCGCATCAAGACAAAATACATCACCGCACCGTCGGTACTCAAAACTCCACCTTACCGCCAACTTAGTTCGACCCCCCCCAAAAAAAAACACACCAAAGCGCTTCTCGGCATCCCATGTTTCCCAGCCCCAGCGCACCCCATTTGGAGAAGGCTGGGCGGCGTCCGGCGAACGGCCAAGGGCAAAACAGCTTGAATGAACAGTCGAGGGCAGCGGGGCCTAAGGGTTTGGGCTTTTGGGTTTAGGGTTTAGGGTTCAGGGTTTACAGTTCAGGGTTTAGGGTTTGGGGTTTGCCTTGGAGTGACTCCACTACCCTGATGTCGTCCACATGTGCTCTCCGCACTCATAAGGTTGCATTGGGCAGCATCCATGTTCTCCGCGGAACGAACGTGGTACTGGTACCGTCTGTTCATCATCCCCGTGGCTGTGGTTCTGCATACCGGCAAGACCAAAGCAGCTGTCAGCTCCGGCATTTAAAAAAGCTCTGAACTGCCACGACACGAGGTGAGGAAAATGGGAGCCATTCGGACTGAATCTGAAGCTCCCAAGACTGTCACAAGCAGTCTTGGGAGCTATGCCCTACTGGGCAGGAACTCTCGAGGCACGGCCACACGCATCCCACGATCAGCGCCGCGCCGGAAGTGGACTGAGAACTTTAGAACCAACACGATGAAGCTAAGCGTAGCTAAGAGCCTGCCAGTGTCCCTACAACGATACCAAAGACACGTTCGCACAGCCCTTAAGGCAAATGTTGGCAAAAAGGAGATGTGCACTTACTTCATGGCACATTTTCATTCAAATGGTATCGGGTCGCCCTCCCCAGCTCCGTCTTCTTGGGGGATGAGAGGGCAGGCGATGGACGGCCCCGTAAAGGCCGCTGAGGGGCTGATGCTGTACATCCCGAGCTCTGACGGCGGTCTGTGCTAGTGACAGAAGCCCGAGCACAATAAAAAAGCGACACTAGCTACATGGCCCAGCTCCTTAGGAGCTGAGCCGTAAAGAGCTCGACTCTAGACCCGAAAGCTTGCCAGGAAATCAGGCGTCAGTGGCATCAGTGGGGCCGCCCCTGTCAAGTGGGCGCGCTGCAAATCGTCGGGGTGGAGATGACTAAGGAGTAGGTTTAGGGTTTAGGGTTTAGGGTTTAGGGTTTAAGGTTTAGGGTTTAGGGTTTCGGGTATACGTTGCACGTATCTCGTCCCACCCGCCTAACGTAGCTGAGTGCACCTTGGGAAGGCAGGATCTGAGGAACAAGGATGCCGAAGCCTTTTGTGACGTTTCGCACTTGCGATACCGAAACACGACACGCAGCGAGGAGGGCACAGATGTAGCTGAAGGATGCCGTGGCCACCCAGGGCCTTAAGATGCGCGAAACGGGGGTTTAGGGTTTAGGGTTTAGGGTTTGGGGTTTTGGGGCTTTGGGTTTGGGGTTTAGGGCTTACGGTTTAGGGCTTAGGGCTTGGGGTTAAGGGTTTAGGGTTTAGGGTTTAGGGTGTTCTCCCATCAAATCGACCGGCATCCTAGCATCCTCAGCCGGCGGCACTCGCATGTGGAGCGGCAACCTTGTGACGAAGAGGTGCGACGAGGCCACGGCACTCAGAGCTGTCAGGGCAAAAAACCCCAGTTCTTAGTAGGGAATGAGGGAATGAGGGCCCTGAAGAATCCCTTAAAGGGTATAAGGAGGGGCCCTCATTCCCTCATTCCCTACGAAGAACCAGCCAGTTATTGCTCAGCTCGTGGCCAGAAGTAGGTGACGTAATGCCCTGGAATGCCGAGTGATTGGGAGGTCCCAAGGATTTCTTGTGAGCTGATGGTCACCAGGCGAGCACGGCACAATTTCTGCCAGGGGAGACTTGGCAACCCTAAACCCTAAACCTTATACCCTCAAACCTAAACCAGGCCTGGCAGCCACATCGTCCAGCTCATCATCCAGTCCTGGATGCAGTTTGTCCGATACCTGAGGAAGCGCCAGAAGTAAAGATCACAACGCAACACCAAGGTGAGCCTAACACGAGCATGGCTTGCAAACCCTAAACACTGAACCCTAAACCCTAAAACCGAAACCCTGACCCCTAAACCCTAAACCCTAAACCCTAAACTGCCCTAAACCCTAACACGGGGAAGAAAGCTTCTCCGAGAGTCCCACTTCTTGAGCGCGGCAGCCAGCGCTTCACCCGGGCCCCGCGCCGTGAGCGCCTCTCAGTTGATTCGCAGGCTCCGAATGAACTCTCGGGTTCAGGGTTTAGGGGTTGAGGTGTTTAGGGTTTAGGGGTTGAGGCGTTTAGGGTTTAGGGGTTGAGGCGTTTAGGGTTTAGGGGTTGAGGTGTTTAGGGTTTCGGGTTTTTAGAGTTTGGGGCTTAGAGGCTTATCGGGTCAGGGTTTGTTGAGGAGGGCTTCGGGAGACATGCGGCTGTAAGACTACATCGTATATGCTATTTCCTGACTGTTGTACGGAGTCTACTCAGACTGGAATGTTCGGGTGGAGCCACCGCCCCTCCCACAACAATAGCACTAAAAGACAGTACAGTGCCAGTAATACTCATGGTTACTAGTATAGTAGCAAGAGTCAGAAGGGTCGTAACAGAATAACAACAACAATGGATAGTAGTGCTGATTAGAAGGAAAACCCCTCTTGAGAAAGCAGGGAGCTGCGGTTGCAAGGGATGCTAAACATCCAGCGTTCGAGTCCTTGAGCTCCACATGTCCACGTGTGGATGGGGGGGCTCTTGGGAGTTTCCCGCACTCATCCCTGGGGCAGGCGACTGCGCTCCATCACTAGAGAGCGCTTACTGCCAAGGACTTTGAAGCCTAAACCCTAAACCCTAAACCCTAAACCCTAAACCCTAAACCCTAAACCCTAAACCCTAAACCTCAACTCAAAGGCCTCCTTCATGACGTAGAAGGCCGGGAACAGAAATAGTGGGTCGGAGATGAAGTTCGTGGCCTGAGGCCAGCATTCAAACTTAAGGGGGTTAGTACATGTCATAGGCACTAGGTCTAGAGTGAATATTACAAGCTATATCTTCAAGGAAAAGTTTGAAAAGTAAATTGGGAATTAGATGGTCAACACTGAATATCATACGCAATACACCATGTCATATTCTACGCTGCTAGGATTCAAAAACAACATATGGTAAATGATATACATATTATATATATATATATATATATATATTCTACGCTGCTAGGATTCAAAAACAATATATGGTAAATGATATACATATTATATATATATATATATATTGATTAATTTTATATTTTCCATTTATTTATGTATTTCTTCATTTCTTCATGTATCTATGTATTTTGTTAACGTATTTATGAATTTGTTGGCTTATTTCCTAGTGATATTCACAATTACGTACCACACATGTCACAATACGTGCTATGCATGAGATACTCTATGCAACATACTATATCTTGGCCAGTGAGAAACCCTAGCTTGTATGTCACATACTATAAATGCTTCATGGTTTTGGAAGTTTTACATGTTGTATGAGACATTCTGCATACGCTACATACTGTACATACCACATTGCATAGTACATCTTTAGGGTTTCGGGTTTCGGGTTTCGGGTTTAGGGTTTAGGGTTTAGGGTTTAGGGTTTAGGGTGTGCAGGGCCAAGCTGTATCACTGCATGGGACTATGTGGGCCATGGTCGTCGTGGCCAGATTAAGCTGCAAGTTCCCTGAAACCCTAAACCCTAAACCCTAAACCCTTAACCCTAAACCCTTAACCCTAACCCTCAAAGCTGGTGAGCCGGGATCCTAAGACGCCTCGATTCCAGCAGTTGCACACACTCAACAGCACGAATTGCCCCCCTCCCAAACCTCCCCGAACACTACACCTTTCCCCTTAGCTTGACCGAGGCACAGCCAGCTTCGAGAAGCTGGCCAACTTGCTCCTCCCCGGCCACAGGCGCTCGAAAATGACCTGTGCTCGGCTTGCGATGTCGCGTCTCCGCCATTCGAAACTTGCTTCGGATTTCCGGCCTTCATGCCTAAGGACTCCATGAAATTTTGAGGTAAGGCCCGGGCATTCCATAGGAAATACTGGAAACCACCCTGTACGAGTCCTCCAAACCCCATGAACCTGAGCAGCGGCACAGTGGACGCGAGGTTGTCCCCAAGCAGATACTGAAGTATATGCTATTCTGTTATATTATATTGTGAATTTATTTTAGAATATAATGTATTATATTATATTATAATATACGATATTATGTTCTCTCAAGAGTCCGCAATCCGAGAGGGCCACAGGAAGTTCCTCTGTTTGTCCAATCTCTCACGACGCTCAATGAGCACCTGCGTGCTGCAACGGCCTTTCGGCTCAAAAAAATTGGGGCGAGCAAAGGACCCATCAGGAGGAGCTTAGAGCAGAGGATCGCGAGGATAGATTCGAGAGAGCTTGCGTTTTGCAAGTGGAGGGGAAGGCTGCACCTCATCCCCTCCCCTGCTTATTGATGGCGCGCATGGTATGGGTCCCAGCAAGCACGCACCGCTTGCCGGAAGCAGGGTCCCTATGCAAACGCAGTGACTGCATGATGTTCTTGAATGCACGGACTAACCAGAACAAGGGGTTTGTGGAGGGGAGGGAGAACAGCATTCCCCTTACTTGCAAGCACAATACTCGCATGACAGTTCGGCATTATGATGTTTAAAGCCAACTTGCCGGGCCGAAAAGAGAGCCCAGGGGTTGGGAGGGTCAGAGGGGACTGCAAACACAATGCTCACATCCGCGCTTGCAAAGAATTCATAGTGTGCATGTCTAGGCAGTTCCCTTTGATGGCTTAAACCGTATGGGCTTCGATCCAAGTCTGGGTTTAGGGTTTAGGGTTTAGGGTTTAGGGTTTAGGGCTTAGGGTTTCGGGTTTCGGGTTTAGGTTTAGGGTTTAGGGTTTAGGGCTTAGGGCTTAGGGTTTAGGGTTTAGGGTTTAGGGTTTAGGGTTTAGGGTTTAGGGTTTAGGGTTTAGGGTTTAGGGTTTAGGGTTTAGGGTTTAGGGTGGCAAGATACTCTTTGAAGCAGGCTTGCACGGCTTCGAAGGGCGAAGGCCCGGATGGCATCATGTGGTTCCACGCAAGCTTCAACAATCCGCATCTCACGGGGTGAAGGAGGTCCGATTGATGGCGTGATGCCCTGACAACCTCCCAGCTTCTCTGTGAACCTTCTGGACCTTAACCCTAAATCTCTACACCCTCATCAACCCTAAGCTGCCCCAAAACCTCGGCGCTGTGCCTAGGGCCTATGGTTTCTCCGGGAGAAGCCAACCCTCGCATACCAAAAGTGCCTGCCTTCCCTCTGCATTAAAGCATGTAGGATTTAGGGTCCAAGGTACACGAAGGAGCCCACGAGCCTACATTCCCCCAAACCATTCAAGAAACTACGTAGCCTTGGATTCGCTTCAGGTCGGTCGGGCTACTTTGCAACGAATCGATGTTAAATGGATGCCAACTCCGACTGAACAGAGTAGGGGTCGAAGGCTACGGTGCACCTGAACGGCCAAGTCGGCTGCGGCTGCCTTGATGCTGCAGGAGAGCCTGAGCTTCAGAACTGCAACTTCTCAAACCCTAAACCCTAAACCCTAAACCCTAAACCCTAACTGCAAGGCAGTGGTTTGCGGGGATGTGTCCCAGCTCCCTGGGCTGTGTGCTTTCATCTTGATTTCGTGAGGCCAGGCTACACGGCTGTTAGCACCGGCCACCGCGCAACCACAGCACTGACGCGCTGTAGCCAGCCTTGCACCTGCATCCATGTGGCAGGTAGGTTGTGCTCCGAAACTTCCGTCTGAAGGTTATATTTCATTATACTCTGTTCTATTCTATTCTATGCTATTATCTTATCTTATATTACATTATATTCTTGGCGTTTGGTTCCCATTGGCAAAGTGGAGGCCTTTTGTGACGCGAGATGGTGCCCAGAGGATCGCTGGCATATGATCGAGGATCCAGTACGCTCAGGGCATGAAGCACTAGATTTTAATGCTCATGGAGCAGAGAACTCGACAACTAGTAGCTAGGGCGGAAGGCCGTGGATGTGCCGTATGTAATCTTGTCTCTACGAGTCTGCTGAAGTCCGTAAACAGGACACGAAAGGGCCCAGCCTCTTGCGGCTGCGCCGGCGGCAGCAAGGCCTGGTCGAAAGCTTCGGGCTTGGGTGCCTGATGTTCCATGAGGAAGCCCAATCAGCCCAATCAGCCTAGAAGAACCAAGTCCCCCAAGCTCCTTCCGCTGCACGGGCGCCACGCGGTCAGGCTGAGGCTGGGACCGTCACAGCCTGTCGTCGACCGAGGCCGGCAGGATGCAACGGTAGGCAGCGACGGCCTCCACAAGATCAGCCATCTGATATGGCACAGGATATTAAATGCAATGAATATTTTCGCATAATATAGTATAATTTGAAATAATATACATAAAACAATATATGATGCAAAATATAGCATCTATAATACATAATGTAATGTAAAAACATAATATAGTGTAATATAATATAATATAACACAATATAGTATAGTATAGTATACTATAATACAATATAACACAATATAATATAATACATAATTCAATATAATATAATACATAATACAAGATAAAAATGAAATCATTTAACTTAATTCCTTTAAATTTAATTTCATTTAATTTAATTTGATTTAATTTAATTTAACTCAATAGAAAAGAACATAATATAATATAATATTGTATTCTATATAATACAATATACTGTATTATAATATAATATAATGTAAAAGCATATGATATAATATAATGGAAAATGAAAAGATTCAATTCTACACAAATATTCTACCACACTCTGATATTGTATAATTTTCATATAATACAAGAAAATATCATATCATGTAATAAAAGAATATGTATACATATATATATATACATATGTGTATATATATATATATATCACGTCTACAAAACGCAAACGGAAATATGTAATATGTAACATATACTATATAATATCTTATCTATAGTATATAGCCATCCTTTTTAAGACACAAAATATGATTCACTCCCCCCAGCGACCTACGCTTTTTCGGCCTTTTTAGGCCTTTTTAACAAAAAACACAACGAAGGCCCAAAGCCGCGTAGTTAATCACCGGGTAGTGAAGGACAGTTACTGGGACACCCACCTCACAGACCCCGATAAGCCGGCATTGGATTAATCTACATCTTGAATCTGAAGCGGACAATGCTGTTTTTAGATGTCTAGATCTGTGTTTTTTTCTATGCAAATTGTGCGTTTAAAGGGTAATTAATGTTTTGTTGAGCAACTAATTTATTTATACAGTTGTGTTTGCACGAGGCAAAGCATTAATCAAATAGTGAAACATTTTTCTTGATTCTGTGCGAATCTAACTACTAGAGTATTTATTAAGCAAAGAGCCCAATTTGACTCAAGTGAATACTATTTAAGGGAGCATACTCAACCAAGATACGAAATAGACACCTTTCTCAACCAAAATATGGCAAAGTGTGCGTTTAAAGGGCATATCATGCTTTGTTGAGCAACTACCGTATTTATACAATTGTGTTTGTACTAGGCAAAGTATGAATCAAATACTATCTGAAAAGTCCACTGAAATACCTTATGTTTACATATTCATGAAATTTTTCATTTTTGAAGTAATCTTTCTATGCGAATTTAGCTACTAGAGTAACTATTAAGCAAATAGCCCAATTTGACTCAAGTGAACACCATTTAAAGGACCATACTCAACCAAAATACGAAATAAGCATCATATTCAACCAAAATATTGCAAAGTGTGGTTTAAAGGGCAAATAGTGCTTTGTTGAGCAACCAATGCATTGAAACAGTTGTGTTTATACCAGGCAGAGTATTATTGAAATACTATCTGCAAAGTCCACTGAAATACCTTATGTGTACATATTCATGAAACAATTTTTTTGAAACATTCATTCTATGCGAATTTAACTACTAGAGTCATTCTTAAGCAAATGGCCCAATTTGACTCAAGTGAATACTATTTAAAGGACCATACTCAACCAAATACGAAACAAACACTAACGGAAATGGAAGCGGTTCTACCTACATAACAATGAAACAAAGATTGCTGAAGTATTCAATAAAGACCACTTATATACTATGTCTGAAAAGCACAATTTGCATAAGCAAGCTTAAACCTGATAGGAGCCACGAACCCGAATGCAGAAAGCAGTCACCTATAAAGCAAATATAACGCATTATAACGCAATATATGCACGAAACGTCCGTGGCGGGCGGACGGACCACCACCACGGACCACCACCACGGACCACCACACCACGCGACCACCACCGCGGGACCACACCATGGGACCGCCACCACGCGACCACCACCACGGACCACCAATGGGGCCCACCACGGACCACCACCACGGACCACCACCACCACCACCACGGGACCACCACCATGGGACCACCATCACGGGACCACCACGGGACCACACCACCACGGGACCACCACCACGGGACCACCACCACGGGACCACCACCACGGGACCACACCACCACGGGACCACCACCACGGACCACCACGGACCACCACGACGGGACCACCACCACGGAACCACCACCACGGGACCACCATGGGACCAATCCACGGACCACCACGGGACCACCACCACGGGACCACCACCATGGCACAACACCACGGGACCACCACCACACCACCACGGGATCACCCATGGGACCACCACGGGACAACACCACAGGACCACACGGACCACCACCACGAGACCACCACCACGGACGACCACCACGGGACCACCACCACCACGGACCACCATCTGGGACCACCACCACGGACCACCACCACGACCCCCACCACGGGACGACCACGGGACCACCACCATGATGGGACCACCACCACGGGCCACACCACGGAACCGCCACCACGGGACCACCACCACAGCACCACCACCACGGGACCACCACCACAGAACCACCACCACGGACCACCACCACCACCACCACCACGGAACCACCACCACCACCACCACGGGACCACCACCACGGACCACCACCACGGACCACCACCACGATACCACCACCACCACCACGGGACCACCGCCACGGACCACCGCCACGGACCACCACCACGGGACCACCACCACACTACCACGGGACCACACCATGGGACCACCACGGGACAACACCATAGGACCACACGGGACCACCACCACGGGACCACCACCACGGGACCACACTATGGGACCACCACCACGGGACCACCACCACGGACCACCACCACGGGACTCCACCACGGGACCACCGCCACGGGACCACCACCAGGGACCACCACCATGATGGGACCACCACCACGGGCCACACCACGGAACCACCACCACGGGACCACCACCACAGCACCACCACCACGGGACCACCACCACAGAACCACCACCATGGACCACCACCACCACCACCACGGAACCACCACCACCACGGGACCACCGCCACGGACCACCACCACGGACCACCACCACGGATCACCACCACGGGACCACCACCACATCGGGACCACCGCCACGGACCACCGCCACGGACCAACCACGGGACCACCACCACACTACCACGGGACCACACCATGGGACCACCACGGGACAACACCACAGGACCACACGGGACCACCACCACGGGACCACCACCACGGGACCACACTATGAGAGGGGGCACCACGGACCACCACGGACCACCGCCACGGACCACCACCACGGGACCACCACCATGGGACCACCACCACGGGACCATGCACCACACCATGGGACCAACCAGCACAGCACCACCACCACGGAACCACCACCACGGGACCACCGGGACCACCACCACGGGACCACTACCACGGCGTCCTGTGGAGTTCCCCCTTACCACCACCACGGAACCACCACCACGGGACCACCGCCACGGGACCACCACCACGGGACCACTACCACGGCGTCCTGTGGAGTTCCCCCTTATCTTGATGCATTCGGAACGCCGCGGAACGCCACGTGGAACGCCACGGCGGCGCGCGTCCTGTGGAGTTCCGCCTTAGCTTGATGGACGCGGAACGCCGCGGAACGCCACGGACACGCCGCGTCGGCGCGCGTCCTGTGGAATTCCCCCTTAGCTTGACGGATTCGGAACGCCACGGACACGCCGCGTCGGCGCGCGTCCTGTGCAGTTCCCCCTTCACAGCACGCGTTACGCCACTCGCGGACGCTTGCGAACGCTTGCGAACGCTTTGCGAACGCTTTGCGAACGCTTTGCGAACGCTTTGCGGACACAACGCAACGACGTTTGGTAACCACCCAAGCCAACTTTTAACACGGGAACCCTTCTGCGGAGCATTCGGGAAAATGCACAACAATGGAAATAGAAGCGGTTCTACTTACATAACGATGAAACAAAGATGTCTGAAGTATTTAAGAAAGACCACTATGTTTGAAAAACACAACTTGCACAATCAGGCCTAAAAAATGCACAAGAATAATAGAAAAGTACTTAGTGAAGGCCATACACAAGCAAATTCACAAATACAAAAAGCATCCAAAAGCGCAAGCTGGTCAGGAGAATCTCTGGTGAAGTTTGGATTCTAGGGTTTTGGGGTATCCCTGGACGAGTAGGAGGTACTTTTTAAGCAAACAATTTTAAGCAATAAATGCTTTTTTCAAGACAAGGATAGTTAATCGCTTTTACCAGGCAACTAGTGTCCATGCGAATTTAGCTACCAGAGCACCAAGTAATGGCTGAACAAGGTCTACTACACTTGAGTACAACCAAAAGATGCACCAAACACTAGTTGAAAAAGAAGCGAAGCGGTTCTACTTACATAATAACGAAACAAATAGTTCTGAAGCACTAGAAAGACCACTTGTACACTATTTCTGAAAAGCACAGTTAGCATAAGCACACTTAAAAATGCGTAGTTGTTGCTTCGTGACCGTGAAGGCGAACCAAAAAGCCAAAATACCAAAACCAAAAAAACCAAAAAACCAAAAAAAACAAAAGAACCAAAAAAAACAATTTTCCGAGACTCTTGGAGAGAAGCCTCATAGGGATTCCTGAGAGTTCCGGAAAATTGGTTTCTTTGTTTTTTTGGTTTTGCTTTTTTTGGTTTTGGTTTTTTTGGTTTTGGTGTTTTTGGTTTTTCCACTGTCCCGTGTATGCGATTTTAGTTGTATTTTCGTCTACGCCCTAGGAAACACGCTATGTTGCACACCGAGTTTGCTTGCAGTGCAGCTGGGTGACTTGAGACAAGGCGAAAAAGGGTAGGTCACCTGGGGGGGGTACCATATATATGTATAGATATTTATTTATAATTCCTTCGAAATTACGCAGGAAATATTTCTTGATATATTTGAATTATATATAGAATAAACAACATATACTGTATATTATATTCTATATGTTATATTATACATTACATATTGAAATTGTGTATGATATACTTTTTTAATATGACATGCTATGTATAACTGTTTGTATATATATATATACATACAAACATCTCTTAAAGAAAATCAAGGTTCGGAAAAAAAAAAAAAAAAAAAAAAAAAAAAACTCTGGGACAAGGCAGGACAAATACACGACATGTGCCGGCCTGACCAAGCCCCAAACCCGAGAGCGGAGGTTCTCACCCTTCCGATTTGTTTGCGATAATGGGTTCTGCAGTAAAAAACTCGACCAACAGACTGCGCTAGTGCGTATTCTTCCTGGCCCTCGTTGTTCGCTCATTCTTTACGCTGTCTGGCTCCTGCCGCGAGGGGAAACGTCTCTGCTGGGCCTCGACTCTGTGTTGTGAGCCTTCGCCACTGCCCTGAAGCAACCGACCTTAGAAGCAGGACATTGCAGATGTTCTGTTTGGTCATCCTGACAAGACATTTCAGGTGAGAGGAGGCCCTCTACGTGGCTCACGCCAAGGCCTTGGCCGATCAGCATGGGACAGTCCAGAACCAACCTGGACCGGAACTGGTGGCAACTCAACATGAAGAACCTTCTTCTTGGCAATGCCGAGGCACTCAACACGCTTGGACATCAAACTCTCCAACCCCCATCGGCCGAAATCGACAGGAGAATGCTCATAACATGTGTTCATGCATGCAACACAAAGACAGACATCATTACACTATTCTACCATATCATACCTTTCAAGTGAAGTCCAGGCCTGACAGCGAGTGACGTGAACGGCACGCAACCGACTCAGGGGAACCTTCCGGGCCCAACTTTCGAGCGCTCGGGCAGTGACTGAAAGACAGCATCAAAAAACCTACGAGCCACTGTCTCAGGCAGAGACCCTCAACCCTCAACCCTAACCTGGCACAGCTTTTCTGTTCAAACTGGCCCCACCTGCCTGAGAAGATGCCACCCTAAGCATCAGGAACCGCTGGTGGGGGCACGGTTTCTCCTACTGAAAACGAAACTACGCAAGGTATGTGTAACGTTGTATGCTACAATACGATACGTATAGAAAGTGCCGGCTTAACCCATGAAGGTATAGCGGTACGGTATGGCCGGTGTATCTTGTTTGTCGCTGCAAACTGCCAGCTTCACCCCACAAATACTGAGTAAAGCTGCGTGCGGCGCGGCGTTTGCATCAGTTGACTGAAAACCGTTATGTCACACAGAGCCTCGTGTTGTCGTACACTTGTAACGCACACTAGGGCCGCAGGAGTCACAAGTACATGCACTGGCCTACAAAGTTCCAGAACAGAAACTCCTGGTGTCAAATGTTCCTCAGCGGCATTGCGATTCTTTGGGGAGCATGTGACTGTCACGCATGCCACATCATTAGCTACAAGCTTGCTGTGTCGCAGATAGAAACTGATGTTGGGCACAGCTATTTGTTCGGGAACGGCTGTTCGTCTTGCGAGGCTTCACAGGGTGGCATGGAAGATCTATCGAAGTGCGAGCTGTGGCACGATTAGCATGAGAATGCCTTCGCATCAAAAAATCCTCAAGGAAACACAATTGCAAGCATGGACGAGGCTTCGACCATGTTCACGATGTTCACTGCCAAAGCGATGGTGCGGCAGCATTTTCTCTGCAAAGTTGGCTGGATCCTGTACAACTCGTTGCGTACTCCGCAAGGGCCTTAAGCCAGCTCGAACTTTGCAACCAGGTGAGCCAAAGGAAGCTTCTGCAGCCGCCGCTTCTCTACGTCAGTGGCATTGGTTTGCATGGCCGCAGCTTCTACTACCAGATGCCGATTGGACAAGAGAGCTTTCGGCAGCTTGATCCTATGTCTACGAAAAGCAAGCAGAGCAATCTCTGCTTTGCATCGTGTGGCCTCTGGCAGCAGATCGTAAACAGCCGCGTCGTCCTCCAAGGCCGCGGTGACGAGGCCCACATCCGATAGGAGGTCGTCACTTGCGTGCGCGAGCATGCGGCCATCCTTCTTGACAGCTGCAAGAACCAACTCTCTGTCGGCAGCCGCTTCCTGTCCTAGCATCGTGAGCAAAGCCGGATCCTTGTCAACAAGCGTACGCCACAACAATTGCTTGTTCTGTGCTTCGGCCGTCGAGTATTGGAGTGCCTGCCGCACTTCTGCAAGCAGCGAGCCTGGCCCGGGCTGGTCCGTGGGCAATGGCATCTGGGCCATCTGGGCGTCCATTCGAACTGCACGGCTGGGGGTGACGCCAGCAGCTTCTTTCAGCTCGCTGTGTGACTGCAAATCCTTGGCAGCTCGCGAGAGCTCGGCCTCGCGATAGCAAGGGGGTACGGCCTCCAAAGCCCGAAACACCACTTCACGATCGGAATGCAAATTCTGCGGCAGATGCTTGAGAATCGAGGAGAGGATTGGACTACCGTCCGGCAGACCGTGGTAGGCCGGCAGACAGTCCAGTATGAAGCGCCTGTCCCCCTTCAATTCATCAGCGACATGTATAAAATTGCCCATGCCCACTGTAAGAGCATAGCGAGCAAAATCACGGTTGCTTCTCAATGCGTGCGAAGCGTGTTGGAATGCCAGCGGATACTCGCTCATAGCGGCCCTGACCACTTCCTCGTCACCCCTGAGCTCACGTGCCGCATGTTGCAGGGCCACGCCATTCCGGGCAACCATCAGTAGCATGAAGCCTTTGTCTGAACACATCTCTGGCGAAGTGTGCCACTGCCACGTAGGAAGTGGGCAATGTCGGCATGGAGGCTGACGCAAAACAGCCAGCGTGAACTCCATGTCCAAGCCCAACGAAGGGTTTGCGTACCTGAGTCAACTCCAGATGCCATCATGAATGCTCTCAGAAGCCTGCCAATGCTTGTCTCGAAGCCCATGTGTGCAGCTTCGGGTAGGTAAGTAGTCACAAACTCTCAAACTATGACTGTAGCGTCGATGTCCGCTTTCGTCCGAACTTTCAGCGAAGGCACCGGTAGAGGGACCCGTTGCATTTCATGGCAGCAAGCATGACCTTTAGGGTAGGCTATCTCAGCAAGGTACATCCACATCGAAGTTCTAAGAGCCCTCATGAGTCATGGCTCCAGCCTCCCGATCGGCCCGGACCTCGTCCCCGGCAAACTTCACCGCTTCGCCCTGGCTTCGCTCGATGGCTGCCAGGACCAGATCCTCAAGCTCAGATCGCTCAGGGGGAAACTAAGCTGCCAGCTGCAACATTCTTGCACCCCATTGCAATTCCAAGCGTCCTTGTCATTGCGAACTGCTTCCGAGGCTTTCCGCAAACGACGCCAGTCCTGCGTGACTTCCTCAATCCACTTGTCGGTCTGTAGCAAGACGACCTCGTTGACGGCTCCTGCCCCGATGGCTCAAAAAGTAGCTTTGCTTGGATTGTTCTCTTCAACCGCAACTGCGGAAGCCCCTTGATATCTGTCGATTTGTTTTATTGCGACCGAACCAGAAAACTGCCGTAACCCAACCACCAATGCCTTGCGTGAAGAGCTCGCTCAAGCAATCTGTGTTCCGCAGCACAGAACGGCCCAGAAGAAGCTTCTGCACGGCTGGCTTGATCTGCGCACTCTCGTGGATCAATCCCTTCAGGTCTGCCACCGTTTGGCTTCCTTGCACCTGCACGGCACAAAGGAGGACACCGGACAGAGCATGCACCTGCACGTCCATGCTCATGGCTGCCATGGGGGGATGCACAAGATACACTTGCCAGTGCCACTTCGGATGCGGCTGATACTTAGTGCTGGTGCTTCTGCAGGGGAAGTTTACCATCTCCGTTCCGTGGCTGTTGACTGCAGATCGTGATATGTGCTTCCTGAGCCACAGAGACGACCGCGCGCCGATTTTGCGTTTCTGCCATCGCTGGTTTTAGAACTCCACAAGACATGATGTTTCATAGATGAGAACTGATTTGCTTTAAGCGTATGATACTTGTAGAGCGGGGCAATGCAGGACAACCCTCTGGCTCCTAGCCTCTCCTTGGCTCCAGCTTTCGTGACATGAGGCGCTCCTACTCCAGACTTCCATTGCGCAGAGTCTCAGAATTCTCAGTGCAGAAGTGCCTCAGCAAACTACACCTTTTCGCACCCTTCCACCGCGTTGAGATTGCTGTGGTGCCACAAGCAACAACTACGTGACACATACATCGCTATGTAGAGGTGTAGTGGTCCTCGCGTTTATCTTTGGCCTGCATCGAACTGAAGGATGTTTCGCTGTTGACATTTGCTCAGCTCGCAGTTCACTCTGGCTTGACATCTCCCACCGTGCCTCGGCAGGGACTGCCAAGTCACGTGGGTTAAGGGTTTGGGGTTTAGGGTTCAGGGTTTGGGGTTTAGGGTTTAGGGTTTAGGGTTTAGGGTTTAGGGTTTAGGGATTAGGGCGACCAGTCTTGCACCTTTACCGCAGGAGACGAACAACTACAGGCAGCGTCCCGAAGTGATACATGTCCAAGTGCCCTGTTCATCCTTCGTGCAAATCTTCTGTTGGTGGAATGATCCGAGAAGCAACCATGGGCCGAAGTCACCTCCCCCTTACACAACAGGGCGAAGAAAGAAGCGACAGCCTCTTGCGTTTTGGGAGGACGCATTCCACTTTGTAAGACAGGAAGCATCCCTGCTGGAGCGCATTCATACACAGGCTCTACAGTAACAAGTAACTCAGTCAACCGAAAGCAGAATCCAACCGAAACCGAAAGCGGCACAAAGTCCAACAGCCTACGTCATCTTATGCCCAAACCTGCTTGATCCTGACTAACCCACAAGTTGTACAAGCTGGGCCCACATACCAGTGGGGCATCGTGCAGATTTCCTCTTCGCGCATCCCTTCCGTTCACAGGCATCTCGTCTTGGTCAGAACGCAGCTCTGCTTCAAGGGTCCCTTGCGAAAGAGCAGCGCGAAGGGAATCCGATCAAGAGACCGGCCACGATCAAGGTCTTAAGTCTTAATCAATCTGTTCTATACAGGCTTTCCATACAGACCAAGGGAAGCCGTAATCAAAAACGTAACCAACACAACCGCAAGTGCTTGCAATATCCACACTACCCACATGGGCAGAACGAGCTCCCCGATGAAAACAGGAAAGACGATCATCAAAAATGACACGAGCGAACCTCCGATCACCGTGATGATCTGCGTCACATCAGGAAAGTTAATCGCAAGGATGGCGGGGAGCACCACAAGAATGCTGCTCAGAAAGTCCTGGTGATTTACGACGCGGTCAAGGTACTTGGGGAAGTTATGCCTTATCAGGCTCAGGACGGACTCGCGAACTGGATATACGTTGAGTGGTATAGCCACGAAGAGAGATATCGAGAGCAAGAAGCGCACAACCATGAAAATAGGATCGTTCGCAGAATACAGCATCATGATGGTGGGGACTGTCCGGAGTCTCTGGCCAAACGTCTCGTAGCCAAAAAACGCCAGTGAGGTGTATGCTGCAAGCAACACTGTTGTCGACACGAAAACCACCAAACAACATCGGGTTGGTGATGGATCTTGTAGCTCACGCGCCACAGTGACACAATTCGTGTGCCACATGAACGAGAAAACCTGAGCTGCACTCGTGAACAGCTGGAGTTCCGCTTGCCGCCACATGCACACTTTGGTTCAGGCAGAGGCTGTTCGTAGTAAACTAGCCACCCGAAAAACTAAAAACTATCTGTGTATAGTACATTCCAGATCCAAGGAGTAGCTGCAATGCACATCCTTAGATTCAGGAGTCGTCGAGGCATGCAAAGGAAAATGCTGAAACATTGCATTTGCGATCTTGCTCGCGTTATCTGAAGTAGGGTATATATTTCTTGTACCCCCCAAAAGGACACTTATACACTCACCAATATGAAAAAGGAACCCCTTAGACACACTCACCAAGAAAAGTAACATAAACCCTGTTTCGTATGCTTTCAGCCAATGATCACTGCGGGAGCCGTTGCCGGATCTGGCCCATGCGAGAAGTCTGCCGGGGCCATGTTGTCCGGAAAAAGCCATCGCCAGAAGATTCCACACCTCAGCTTGCATGTCACAAGGGTGGCCCTCCTGTCCTCCAGCCCTGAACCCTAAACCCTAAACCCTAAACCCTAAACCCTAAACCCTAAACCCTAAACCCTAAACCCTAAACCCTACACTGCTACCAGGGAGCATCATGAACAGCAGAACGGCTGGGCTGATGCTTGCAAACCTGGCATGGGCAGACCCTGGGCTCCTCGCCAGCCCGGCCGGGCCGAGTACTTGATGTAGGGTTTAGGGTTTAGGGTTTAGGGTTTAGGGTTTAGGGTTTAGGGGTTAGGGTTTGGGGCACTTGGTGGGTTGCAAAGATATTTCTCTTAGCCGTCGAGGTGTGCAGCTTTTGCTGTGACTCCTCAGCGAGAGATATGGGTTGTTGTACGACTTGGCCCCCATGCGTGGTCATACTTGGTGTGAAGCTGTTGGCTAAGGGTTTCTGAAGAAGTCTTGTGTTCAAAAATGCGTACTTTCCACAAAACTCAATCTTTCGTTGCTCCTTGTATCACCTGTGTGTCATTATCTTCGCCTCCTTTGTGTCAGTAGACCCGCCATGCAACTCACACACCCACTTTTGGAAGGCCCAAACTAGAAATATTCGTCTCGGCTTCCTGCCGAGAAGCGTCTGGAACAAGCAGACCCGGATCGGGCCTCCTTCCCCCTAACCCAACCCTTCCCCCCAGACCAAATTTTCTGATGCCACCCCCCCCCCCCCCCGCCCTGTGGGACCCCCCCCCAATCCCTGGGAGGAGCTGCAAACCGATGCCGTGGAGGGTCCCGCTTGTCGGTGGCTCCTACAGGCGGAGTGCCTCAAAAACCCCCCGCGCCACCCCCCCCCCCCACCACCACCCCCCCCCCCCCCCCTCCCTCTACCCCTCTACCCCTCTCTCTGTCTCTCTCTTTTTCTTTCTTTGGGGCATGGGGCAAGCCCCGCGCCTAAGCTCCACGCGAACACTTCACACCCCTCGTCGGCCGCTGCCACACCTGTCCTCCTGCGGGACCTGTATCGGTCCTTTCTCGGCCCCTCCCTGAACCCCTCAATTTCTCAACTGCTAATCCCTCTCTCTCTCCTTGTTCTTGGTGGTCCTCCTGTCTTTCGGATATTCATGTTCAACTGCTTCGGCCTTGCCAGACCTCCAATCGACTCTAGCTGCGCCAGCTTCGTGGCTGGCACCGAGATGAGCAGGATGAATAGGTCTCGAGGGCAGTCCGAAAGGTACGGAAGCTTGGCCACAAACTGAGAAATGAACAAGAAGTAGACTGTCAAAGCCAGCTGCTGGTGTACTAGCAGCACTAAGTCCAAGAAAACCATCATCTTCGGAATCCACACCATTGCCAGCAAGTCTCCGTAGGAAGGCCCAGGCAAAGGCAAGGACAAGGTCGGTCGAGCCGTCTCTTTCGTGCGCTTGCGGTCTTTGTAGTCGTAGACGGACGTGCTCCGCTTCCGCTCCAGCACACTGTGTGCACCCCCTCCAGGTGACAGAAACGGGGCATGCGGATCGTGCGGATCATGCGGGTCCAGCTCCGAGCCCAGCGCCTGGAAGACAAAGAGTCGGAATCTACAAAAACTCAGTAAAAGGCAGCGAAAAGGCAACCAAGAGCCCTGGCCTGGGGCGAGATGAGGCCGAGCATGTTGGGTGTCGAGCCGCTGAGGAGCCGGGATGAGATGGTCATGATTGACTCAGGTTGGCTCCTCCCATGTCGCTGGGAGTGGGGGTTCAGGATGCACGTGCTTCAGGGGTGATACCGCTTCTTGGCCGTGTTCTTAGCTCATTTTCATGTGACGCAAGAATTCAAAGGCGAAACAGGGAAGTGCAGGGGCATGAACAGAATCAACAACATAGCCGGAGTCGTTGTTTCTGCAAGCATCGCGGACGAATCTGAGAAACTGACACCTTGACGGCTTCACGGGAAGTGACTCAAGCGACTCGTGACTTGACCAAGGATCCTCGAGTCTGCCACGGCACGAAAGAGAATCCATGTCCTTCGGCGGCATCAGAAAAAGAACAGCAAAAAATATGTCTACTCTGCCGCATCTTGACAGAAAGTTCTGAATTTTACATGCTGGCACCGTCAAGAATCTTCGAACGACTCTGGCCCAATAGACCTATGTAAAAAGAGCTGAACCAGACGAGAGTCGTCAAGGACGAGATCAACCAGCCGAAGACAAACATCAATGTCATCAAGGGGACCCCCACAGCTGCCATAGCTCGAGGGAGCCTGTGCTATGTAGCGAAGGGGCTTGCTCAATTCCTCCCCTGGCTCCCCTGTGAATGTCCTACAAAGGGCATTTCGGAACCAGCAAGCTGGCCCTCTCCCCTTTTTTCCCTTCCGTCCCTTCAGGCTTTCACAGTGCGACTCCTTTGCCTACAGGCCGCCTCATGCCGAGTACTTCACCAGCCACCACCTTCCTGGAAAACCGTCCTAGCTTCTTTGCCACACATTTGAGGCGAAGGGAGGATTCTGCTACTGCCTGTCTTATTCTTGCACTCACCCTTGTGCAAATGGCTCTCCGAGCTGGCTCCTTAAGGCAAGTACCGTAGTCTCAGTGTCGGGATGTAGGGACAAGCGGCACCATGACACCAGAACCAATGCCAGCAGCAAGCAGCAGCATGATGGACTCGAAAGCCGACCTGCTGCCCGGAGTACCGGACGGTAGCCCACCCGCCATGGCTCCACCGGACGGGGGACCGTGCCGCTCTCTCTCTCTCTCTCTCTCTCTCTCTTTCGCCTGCTCTCTACCTTTTGGGTATCTCGTCCTTACCTGCTCTACCTTCCTGCGCCCTCTTCGCCTTGCTTGCCTCGCAGCGGGCTCTGCGCTAGGACGCCCGCATCAGACTTGTCAGCATAAATGTTGTTCGGTGCATCTTGCCAACCTCCTGACATCTCCTGACAGCCATAATGCTTCGTCCCGTGCACGGCTCTGGGGCAAGCCCATGAGAGTATGCAGCAGAAGTGGGGGGTTTCCGAAAATGGGGGGTACCTTGTTGGGGGTCCCAATCATAAGGGAATCCTACTATTGCGGGGCTATTCTCGGGGTCCCCATTTTCGTAACCCCCCAAGTCGGGCAAAGGGGTATAGGGCATGCCTCGACAAGTGCTTGAGAAGTTGAGCCCCGGTCTCTTGCCACCTTCCTCGCCCTTCTCCACGGTCTGCTTGAGGCCGACCGCCAGCTTGGTGGGAACCTCACTGACAAGATCATTATATGCGTGTATTATACATATATATGTATATGTATATATATATATATGTGAGAGGGACCTCTTGGGTCCATTTCACGTATATCACTTGTATGAGGAATTTAATTTATTTACCTATTAATTTCTTTAATTTCTTTAATTTCTGGGGCTCTCTTAGGGAAATAAATGAAATTAAAGAAATTAATTAATTTCATTAATTTCTTTAATTTCTGGGCCTCTCTGTGCGAAATTAAAGAAATTAAAGAAATTAATTAATTTCTTTAATTTCATTAATTTCTTTAATTTATTTTAATTAGTCCCGTGAGCCGGGGGGGCTACCCCAATTAATTTCTTTAATTTCTTTAATTTCTGGGCCTCTCTGTGAGAAATTAAAAAAATTAAAGAAATTAATTCAGGTAGCCCTTCGGGCTTGCGAGACTAATTAAAAGAAATTAAAGAAATTAAAGAAATTAAAGAAATTAATGAAATTAATTAATTTCTTTAATTTCTTTAATTTCTGGGCCTCCCTGTGAGAAATTAAAGAAATTAAAGAAATTAATTAATTTCATTAATTTCTTTAATTTCCGGGCCTCTCTGTGAGAAATTAAAGAAATTAAAGAAATTAAATAATTTCATTAATCTCTTTAATTTCTGGGCCTCTCTGTGCGAAATTAAAGAAATTAAAGAAATTAATTAATTTGTTTAATTTCATTAATTTCATTAATTTCTTTAATTTCTTTAATTTATTTTGATTAGTCCCGTGAGCCGGGGGGCCCCCCCCAATTAATTTCTTTAATTTCTTTAATTTCTGGGCCTCTCTGTGAGAAATTAAAGAAATTAAAGAAATTAATTCCGGTAGCCCTTCGGGCTTGCGAGACGAATTAAAAGAAATTAAGGAAATTCAAGAAATTAAAGAAATTAATGAAATTAATTAATTTCTTTAATTTCTTTAATTTCTGGGCCTCTCTGTGAGAAATTAAAGAAATTAAAGAAATTAATTAATTTCATTAATTTCTTTAATTTCTGGGCCTCTCTGTGAGAAATTAAAGAAATTAAAGAAATTAATTAATTTCACTAATTTCTTTAATTTCTGGGCCTCTCTGTGCGAAATTAAAGAAATTAAAGAAATTAATTAATTTCTTTAATTTCTTTAATTTCATTAATTTCTTTAATTTATTTTAATTAGTCCCGTGAGCCGGGGGGGCCCCCCCAATTAATTTCTTTAATTTCTTTAATTTCTGTGCCTCTCTGTGAGAAATTAAAGAAATCAATTAATTTCATTAATTTCTTTAATTTCTGGGCCTCTCTGTGAGAAATTAAAGAAATTAAAGAAATTAATTAATTTCATTAATTTCTTTAATTTCTGGGCCTCTCTGTGCGAAATTAAAGAAATTAAAGAAATTAATTAATTTGTTTAATTTCATTAATTTCATTAATTTCTTTAATTTATTTTAATTACTCCCGTGAGCCGGGGGGGCTACCCCAATTAATTTCTTTAATTTCTTTAATTTCTGGGCCTCTCTGTGAGACATTAAAGAAATTAAAGAAATTTAATTCAGGTAGCCCTTCGGGCTTGCGAGACTAATTAAAAGAAATTAATGAAATTCAAAAAATTAAAGAAATTAATGAAATTAATTAGTTTCTTTAATTTCTTTAATTTCTGGGCCTCTCTGTGAAAAATTAAAGAAATTAAAGAACTTAATTGATTTCATTTAATTTCTTTAATTTCGGGGCCTCTCTGTGAGAAATTAAAGAAATTAAAGAAATTAATTAATTTCATTAATTTCTTTAATTTCTGGGCCTCTCTGTGCGAAATTAAAGAAATTAAAGAAATCAATTAATTTCTTTAATTTCATTAATTTCATTAATTTCTTTAATTTATTTTAATTAGTCCCGTGAGCCGGGGGGGGCCCCCCAATTAATTTCTTTAATTTCTTTAATTTCTGGGCCTCTCTGTGAGAAATTAAAGAAATTAAAGAAATTCATTAATTTCATGAATTTCTTTAATTTCTGGGCCTCTCCGTGAGAAATTAAAGAAATTAAATAATTTCATTAATTTCTTTAATTTCTGGGCCTCTCTGTGCGAAATTAAAGAAATTAAAGAAATTAATTAATTTCTTTAATTTCATTAATTTCATTAATTTCTTTAATTTATTTTAATTAGTCCCGTGAGCCGGGGGGGCTACCCCAATTAATTTCTTTAATTTCTTTAATTTCTGTGCCTCTCTGTGACAAAATTAAAGAAATTAAAGAAATTAATTCCAGTAGCCCTTCGGGCTTGCGAGACTAATTAAAAGAAATTAAAGAAATTAAAGAAATTAATGAAATTAATTAATTTCTTTAATTTCTTTAATTTCTGGGCCTCTCTGTGAGAAATTAAAGAAATTAAAGAAATTAATTAATTTCATTAATTTCTTTAATTTCTGGGCCTCTCTGTGAGAAATTAAAGAAATTAAAGAAATTAATTAATTTCATTAATTTCTTTAATTTCTGGCCCTCTCTGTGCGAAATTAAAGAAATTAAAGAAATTAATTAATTTCTTTAATTTCATTAATTTCATTAATTTCTTTAATTTATTTTAATTAGTCCCGTGAGCCGGGGGGGGGCCCCCAATTAATTTCTTTAATTTCTTTAATTTCTGGGCCTCTCTGTGAGAAATTAAAGAAATTAATGAAATTAATTCCGGTAGCCCTTCGGGCTTGCGAGACTAATTAAAGGAAATTAATGAAATTAAAGAAATTAAAGAAATTAATGAAATTAATTAATTTCTTGAATTTCTGGGCCTCTCTGTGAGAAATTAAAGAAATTAAAGAAATTAATCAATTTCATTAATGTCTTTAATTTCTGGGCCTCTCTGTGCGCAATTAAAGAAATTAAAGAAATTAGTTAATTTCTTTAATTTCATTAATTTCATTAATTTCTTTTAATTTATTTAAATTAGTCCCGTGAGCCGGGGGGGCTCCCCCAATTAATTTCTTTAATTTCTTTAATTTCTTTAGTTTATGGGCCTCTCTGTGCGAAATTAAAAAAATTAAAGAAATAAATTCCGGTAGCCCTTCGGGCTTGCGAGACTAGTTAAAAGAAATTAAAGAAATTAAAGAAATTAAAGAAATTAATGAAATTAATTAATTTCTTTAATTTCTCGAATTTCTGGGCCTCTATGTGAGAAATTAAAGAAATTAAAGAAATTAATTAATTTCATTAATTTCTTTAATTTCTGGGCCTCTCTGTGCGAAATTAAAGAAATTAAAGAAATTAATTAATTTCTTTAATTTCATTAATTTCATTAATTTCATTAATTTCTTTCATTTATTTTAATTAGTCCCGTGAGCCGGGGGGGGGCCCCCAATTAACTTCTTTAATTTCTTTAATTTCTGGGCCTCTCTGTGAGAAATTAAAGAAATTAAAGAAATTAATTCCGGTAGCCCTTCGGGCTTGCGAGACTAATTAAAAGAAATTAATGAAATTAAAGAAATTAAAGAAATTAATGAAATTAATTAATTTCTTGAATTTCTTGAATTTCTGGGCCTCTCTGACCATGGTCCCCGAATTCGCTGTTTCCAAAACCATCGCAAAAACCATGGTGCCCGAATTCGCTGGTTCCAAACGCATGGCAAATACCATGGTCCCCGAAATCGCTGCTTCCAAAAGCATCGCAAATACCATGGTCCCCGAGTTCGCTGTTTCCAAAACCATCGCAAGGAGCTTCCGTGGCTGGTTCCAAAACCATCGCAAATACCATGGTCCCCGAATTCGCTGGTTCCAAAAGCATCGCAAATACCATGGTCCCCGAATTCGCTGTTTCCAAAACCATCGCAAGGAGCTTCCGTGGCTGGTTCCAAAACCATCGCAAATACCATGGTCCCCGAATTCACTGGTTCCAAACGCATGGCACATACCATGGTCCCCGAATTCGCTGCTTCCAAAAGCATCGCAAATACCATGGTCCCCGAATTCGCTGTTTCCAAAACCATCGCAAGGAGCTTCCGTGGCTGGTTCCAAAAGCATCGCAAATACCATGGTCCCCGAATTCGCTGGTTCCAAAAGCATCGCAAATACCATGGTCCCCGAATTCGCTGTTTCCAAAAGCATCGCAAATACCATGGTCCCCGAGTTCGCTGTTTCCAAAACCATCGCAAATACCATGGTCCCCGAATTCGCTGGTTCCAAAAGCATCGCAAATACCATGGTCCCCGAATTCGCTGCTTCCAAAAGCATCGCAAATGCCATGGTCCCCGAATTCGCTGGCTCCAAAAGCATCGCAAATACCATGGTCCCCGAATTCGCTGGTTCCAAACCATGGCAAATACCATGGTCCCCGAATTCGCTGGTTCCAAAACCATCGCAAATACCATGGTTAATGATTTCGCAAAATCACATGGTGCTCCAATGCCGAGCGTGCGAAAACATCGCAAATTTCATTGTTATTTAATTCCCGGCGTGCGAAACTCACTTCGATCAGATTTCACTGTGCTTCTCTGCTCTTTGAAGC